CTATTTAACCGAAGCTACAGCTAATAATGGCTGGATTTTTTACTAAACAAAGACTTAAAGGCTAAAGATATTTTTACAATAATGAATTAAATGCTGGGAATATTTCCACACCACTCTTAAAATATTTTCCAGTTTCTACCAAGATATAGTCCATATTCCTGAAAAAATTGCCCCTTGCCACAGTGATTTCGCTTCCTATTCTCAACCCAGCTCCTTTGATGTACACTCCTTAGAAGCTCTCAATTGCCAGAGGTGTAATCCACTCAGTGCCAGACAGAGTTAACAAGTTTGTCCAAATCTTCGAGTTTATCTCACATTTTAGAAATAAATGGGAGTGCATCTCTCCTCCATTAAGGCGTCTGATGCAGATTATGGAACTTATAAGCTCTTAATGCTCTTGGAGAAGCTATAAGTTCCCGTTGACTAAGAAATAAACTATGCCAAATACTATCTGAACAGACAAAAGCTGGGAGCTTCGCAGGTTACGATGTACTAAATCTCAAAAATTACATTTAGAAGTTCAATATGACTTTTAGGTTTCTGAGGTTGTTATCGGCAATTGGTTATTTAGCAACTTTTCTTATCCTCTTGTTGGCTTATTCTGTGGATTGATAGTCAATTTAAATAGTTTTCTAGATCTGCCATATGAAACACCAGGGAAGTTTTAGGATTGTGCATCTTTGGCTATTTGCAATCATCAAAAAGCAGAAGGAAAAAATCTTTTTTGTGTTTCTAAATTTGGTTTTCTTTGATTTATTAACAGGAAAGTATGAACTTATACCTTTCTACAAGGGTGAGAATACAGTATTTGATGTTTCACCACGCGTGATACAAGTGTCAGTTGAGCACCAACATGTAATTGTTCCACAAAAGTTTCAGGTAAGACAATTTCCTGCCTGACTGCGATGAAGGTTTTTCTCCTTTGATGGTACTAATCTGCCTTGCTAACCTATCTAATTTTCTCTCTTTTTTGGGAAATTGGTTGCTCATATGTGCATACACATATATAAATCTTTAATGGAAGCACCTCTTATGTCATATACATTGCTCATCTTTGAGTTTGTAGCTACTTTTATTATCTTCTTTTACTTTGAATATAAGTCGGCATTTTCAACATTGTTTTCATCGTCAAAGAACAATATTGCCATTGCCAGTTGTGCTGCCTGTTATAAAACACTTCAAACAGAAATGTCGTTTGGCTACTTAAGGTTCAATTAAGCTCTTTTATTTTTGTGTAGGTTACTGGATTCTCCATCGGGGGCCGTGTCGTGGATGGAAATGATATGGGAGTGGAGGGTGTCAAAATCTTAGTTGATGGTCATGAAAGATCTATAACTGACAAAGAAGGTTATTACAAGCTTGACCAGGTATATTCAGCATTTCCTCTTTCTCATCTGTGTGGTATATTATCTGTTTCTTATCTTTTGGTTTGACCATTTTCTTCCTGAGAAAAAAAACTTTCTTTCGAGGTCTTCTAAGTTTCTGTACCTTCAATCTTCTTTTGTTTCCTTTCCAGTATTTTTTATGTATAATTTAAATTTTTCCTGTCCAATCTGCTCTATGCTCTGTGCTTCAAAGCGTGATTAAAGACTTTCAACTGGAAACTAAATTAACAGTTTGATGTGAGCATCGTTGTTTGGGCTTATTTTGCATATGAAGTTGAAATGAACATAGGGCTGCTTTTATACACTGTACCTGCTTCACGAGTGGAGTTGATCATTTTGCTCATTATTGAAGGAAGTGTAGTTTGCAAACTGATGCTGATATTCATGAAGAGTAAATTAAAGCAATTTTAGTTATTTTTTTATCCTTCTTAAATATAGTAAGAGAAAGTATTTCAAAAAAAGAAATCTAGTAAGAGAAGATTGAAGCTGCCATTGCTTAAACTCAAAAATTCTTAATGCTTTCTGAAGTTTTGTTATACTTCCAATTCTGTTTTGGAAAGCTTATTTCCCCTCCCTCCCTTGGTTAGGAGATCTAATTTCTTTACCGTTCTTGTAGTTGCTAATGGTGGCAGTTTTTTTTTTTTTTTTTTTATATATTAGATGTTGTCAAACAGAAATCGGAAGCAAATAAGGATATTGTTGTTAGTTTTAGATATATACTTATCCTTGAAAGTTCCTATTGACTTGCTGATTGCTTTTTAGGTTACATCAAACCGGTACACAATAGAGGCTGTGAAGGAGCATTACAAGTTCAACAAACTGAAGGACTATCTGGTAAGCATGCAGTAGGAAACATTAGGTAGTTTTCTGCTTCATTTTGCTGCCACTCTTTAGATTTTATCTCAAGGGACAACTGTCCTTGTATATATTGTCAAAACAAATCAGCATTTTTCTCCAATATCTTCCTGATAATTCACTATATGATGTAATAACTGATTATTTTCCTTTACTTAGGTTTTGCCAAATATGGCTTCAGTTGCAGATATTAGTGCTGCCTCTTATGACCTTTGTGGAGTAGTACGAATGGTTAATTCTGGTGACAGGGCAAAGGTAACTTCCAATAATGTTTGGTTTTACTTCTCTACTGCATTATCAGTCAGTTACGTCAGTTTTCATGTTTTTGAATTCTAGATAGCTTTGACTCATGGAGCAGAGAACATAAAACCGCAAATGAAACTGACAGATGAAGGTGGAAATTTCTGCTTTGAGGTGTGTTCGCTCGCCCCAGTACAATGATCTTTCACGTTAGGTGCTGGTTGGGTACTTAGGCATTGTACGGTTTTGAGTTTGATTGAATTCAATATTCAGTTTTGTTAACATTTTGCCTCTTATATCATTATGCTTCTTTCATTATGTATAACCCTTTATGTTTTCTTTGAATGATTCTGAAACCATTCAGCTAAGAAAGGTGTCTCTTAAAGCAGGTTTCTTGGAAAATTTCTGCTTAAAATTGAATTTAGTAATTATGGTCCGGTAATTGTATAAGCAACTGAAATTGAGAGTTTTTATTTACAACTACTATATTTTATTGTTTCCATAGATTTTTGTTCTGTAGTGTGGTTAGTTGGAAGCTCTGCAGCAAGAATTGAGAAAGATACAGTGATTGTTCTGTTGCAATCTGTTATGGCTCCTACTTTGGGATCTAGTGGGGTGACTGATACTAAGATCGAAAAATCCTTAATAGAGCTGGTACAATGCTGTATTCCTCTGTGAGCTATGGCTGCTAAGGTAAGGGCTTGTTGGAGAGAATCCTTGGATTTATGACATTTAGATACTTCAAAAGCCAGAAGGAAGCAATTGTAATGATTTTATTTCCTCCAAACCAATTACATAAAGGAAGAGGAAAGGTACAGGCAACTTTCTTCAGACCAAGGGGATGGTCCCCAGGCATGGAATTCATAACTGCCTAAGAAACTTGATGCTAGGAAACCAAAGAAACTGAATGAAATGAACAGTAAAATATCAATCTCTAAGCTGAGATGGAAGGAACTGAATAAAATAATCAGTAAAACAAACTGCAGTAAAAAGATATGTTGTAAGCTGAGCTGTTCTTTCCTTTCTTCTGTTAACGTGAAAATCATTTATACACTTGGCCTACCAGAAGATCTTTCCCGCTGCTGAGGTGGCTGACTGGGGGAACCAGGTAGGATTGGTAATGGAGCAACCATAACAAAAACATCTCATCCTTTTTTATCAATATGGACCTCGTGTACATGAAGAAATTTAGAATTTTTTTTATTTAATGAGAATCTTTTGATTTAGAATTTCCCTTGCCCTTGTATGGTCGTCTTTTGGCTATTGCTGAGGCAGTTTATGTGATAGAGATATCTTTAGGTTTCTAAGGTCCAACTAATTTTTTGTTCTGAAGAAAAGAGTTAAGTGATTGTAGCAAAATTCCATCTTAAATGTAAAGAATATATATATTCTCCCTTCCTGGATGAAGTTTGATAGTGTGCATAAAAGGAATATTGTGCTTATCTATATGAAGGACAGTCTAGCATGTACTTCATTATGGTGTCTCTCTCTTGCTTTTATGCTAGAAGCTTTGTTAATTTTATGCTAGTGGTTTCTATTAATTTTTGTTTGGTCTCTCTGTACCCCCTGTTTATTGATGAGTTATGTATCACTATTTTATCATCAATATTTTTCAGGTTCCCTCAGGTGAATATCGCTTATCTGCTTTTGCTGCTAAACCAGAGAGTGGTTCTGGACTTCTCTTTTTGCCGGCTTACATTGATGTTACAGTGAAAACACCACTATTAAATTTAGAATTTTCTCAGGTATGATCCACCTCATCCTAAAGAAGTATTAGATTTAAATTCTTTATCTGCTAATTGCTGTACCCTATCTTTCACCCTCTAGGAACTTGACTCCTATTGAGTTTAATCTCTTGGTGTTATGATGGTGCAAGAAATATTTTTTTTTAGATAAAAAGGATGTGTCATTCATTTACTCACGAGCACCAAGGGGGTGCCAACTAATATACATAAAATATTTATATATCAATCAAAATGCAATAAAGTTGCCAAAATCATTTACTGTGTAAAGAGGATGACTCATAGTAAAAAAATTTAGGGTTTAGAACCATCTATCTCTAATCTTATCAAAGTCGTCTTCAACCTCTCAGAAGCTCTTATATTTCTCTCTTCCCATACTATCCAAAAGATGGCAAGGAGAATGAGACTCACATATTTCTTGTCCTCCACTACTACCTTTTCAAGACTGAATCTCTTCCTTCATCGAACAAGCCATCACCCAACTGATCTCTCGTAACCTATAAACTAAGGTCCACAGTTTCTTCACAAATGGGTACAAAAAGAGAACATGATCGCAGGATTATGCCTCCCTCTGATACAAGAAACATTCCTTCACCAATATTTTTTTCCCTCCTCATCAGCTTGCGAATTAGTAACAATACACCAACAACTTGCTTACCTCACCAAGAAAGCAACTTTGATGGAGAATTGACTATCGGACTTTGTAGAAAAGGAAAGCTGGTGTCTGTGGCCTCATTTTAATTTAGATAATTATAGAAGGATCTAATCGAAAAAGACCCCCTAGCATTGAGTTTCTAAATAGAGTGGTCGTTACTCTCGTTGATTGTAGTACTAGAGAGTGTATGGAAGAGAGTCTCATAACCATTAACTTCCAAATTGTTGAAGTTTCTCATAATTTCCACATGTCATTCCCCTTTCTCCCTATTGTCTTTATATGACCCGTATACTGGGATATTCTTGTGTGATGCAATATTATAGATATGGGAGAAATATTATCTTAGTGATCTCCCTCTTAACCAAGCATCATGTCATAAATTAACTCTGTCAATCAGGTCTCACCGGTGAACCTGAAAGGAGGAAGTTATAATGAACCGGCCAATACAGGAAAAAGAAGGATGCTCTCTAGAATTTCATGTTCTTCTGCCCTTAGAAAAAGATAAATCTATTCGATTTAATCTGTCAATTACATCATGAAACTCCTTGACACAAGATCTCAAGAAGTTCTCCCTCGATCTCTCACTACTCTTTGTATGCCAAATTGAAGTCCCCTCTTATAACCCAAGGCAACTCCCATCTCCTGCTGCATTCCTCCAAATCACCACAAAGTATCTCTCTCTCTCTCTCTCCTCGCCTTGCCCATAAACCCTTGTGAAAATACACCTCCACTCGTTCATCCTGCACATGATTACATATGAGATAGAACAGGCTCCAACGAGACGAATAATGATCTCTAAGGTATCCTCCTTCCTGAGCATAACCACCCTACCTGAGGCCTCCACAGTTGGTAAGTCTCTCAACCCAAGCTCGAAGATCTTCCAAATACTATAGGCTATTTGATGTGGAAGAGAATCAAGTTTGGATTCTTCAAAGCAAATCATATCAAGTTTCCATCTTGCTATACACTATTTGTTATTAT